TATATATATAGATAGTGTTTTTGACCCATAACTATTTATTTTTTAATTAATTTAATATATTTTTGGAGTAAATTTAGAAAAAAAATGTATAAACAATCTTTATTTAAATAATTTTTTAGAGGTATAAAATAAATGTCACTAAATAATTTTTTTATTTTTTTTTATAGTAGAAAAAAAGTGTATTAGATATTTTTTGAGGTGGATAAAAAAAATCAATACCTTTATGATATTTATTTTATGCTAAATATATATTGTACTTAATCTTTATTCAGCCATGTGGCACATTGCACTACTTTTTTCTTTTCTTTCGTTTTCATGGAAAAGTGAAAGGAGAGTTGTTGTACCCGTTTACATCAATAGAAGGAGGTCTGTCCGCAGGGAAATTCATCTCTAATGTTAGCTTAACTGAACCGGGAAAATCCGCTGCTGTAAAAAAATATCATCTCAAGCAACCCTGCAAATTTAAGGCATCTGATTATGCCCCTAAACACATTACAGGTCAGGAGGGGCATCGTGCAGCCCTGAGGCGAGTTGCCTCAAATGTGACGATTGATTGATTATCATGATAATTAGTTTGAAATGATTATCAGGATATAATAATCACTGCTTTCACCCCCTGCCTCGTGCTGCATTTGCATGCTCTCTTGTCCCCCCGTATAATGCGCCTCCATCAGAAAGCGCCTCTGGTTATGGAGGCGTAGTAACAGGGGCCTCCCGGTCGGGTCCTCAGGGGCTGGGGGGCCCCATTGATGAATGATGACCCAAAGGAGCCTGAAATCAGAGAGAATAAACAGGGGGAAGAAGAGAAGAGGAGAGGGACATGGGAGGCTGGTAACTATCTGTAGCGGAGGGCAATTATACGGCAGGCCAGGCAGCCCCAGGGGCAGCAGATCGCTCTGAAGAATGCAGAGGGGTCCTGACCACCCAATACACTCTCACACACACACACACACACAAACACATACAGTGGGACCGATGGGAAAGGAACAGAGAGCTTTTGCTGTCCATGTTAAAAATGTTTCCTCCTTTTTCAAGAAGACTTGACAAGCTGTTTTTCAGAGTCTGATCTGAATGACAATCGCAAAATTACCCTTCATAACGACTCCTTCAAAGCACATTAAATGTTTTACAAGTGTCTCTCCGTCTGCTAGTAAACACAAAGCTAAGCGATTTGAGCGCAGAACAGTTAACTAGTTTAGCGTCTGAACGCTTTTAACGACACGTCACTTCAGGAGCTCGTTTGAGGGAAAGCGATTGCACGCTGAAACATGCCAGTTCAATTAAAACAGAAAGTCATGCACTCCAGTGCTAGACGGTCTGAAAACACGGGGAAGTTAAAGACGTTTAGCCTTTTCTGTCACTACGAGGGGAGGAGGGCTGTGTAGAAATAGTCTTTGTGGTTTTTAGCATGACTAGGAGAATACTTAATGATAATATCCCTTCTCGGCCCCTGGCTCGCTTACGTTTTAATGGCCCCTGACTGACAATCTTTCTCTCTGTGTGGGTGTGTGCTTGTTGAGGTGGCATGCTATTTAGAAAGATACTTTCTCTTTCTCTAAATATACGAGTAAATTCTGAGTAATTTACACGTAAACCGGCTTCACAAATACTTTGATTTGGTAGTTAAATGTGTGTATGTTAATGAATTCCAATCATTTGTAAATAGTGCTCGCATGCATTTACAAATAGCATATTCCTCGCCTATGAATTACAGCTACGCAAATTACGTATCTAGGAATGGTGTGGAGTTATTTTAATTCTCGGGTTTGGCAAGTAATATTGCATAAATGCATAAGAGACTAATAGGCTATATGCCTAACAATAAATTAATAAAATAACATGTGTCCACCAGAGCGTTTTTAGCATAATGCCTGGTGCTCTTCTGAAAACGAACAGTTGGTGGTGCTTGAGAGAGCTTTGGAGGCATTGCATTTTTCTGGAGTGACGCGTTGTTTGCTATGATTTGGAATATTAACGGCAGTAACATGTTATGAGTAACCAGCAATATTAACTTCTCCATTGCTGTGTTGTACAAGTATGATGGTTGGCCAATGTAGTGTTTGTCCCGCCCCTCCTCCACTGTGATTGGACGTCTGTGTAAAAAGGGACAGTGACGAGCTCTGCGTTTTACCCAAAGTTAAAGAGTAAAAAACGAAAAAGACAAAGACAGGGCAAATTAACTTGTTAAATATCATTATAATACATAGTGCATAAAAATGCAGTGTCATCAGTTTGTCTAAAGGAATACAGAACATTTGAATGGTTTATGCACCATTTACATGTGGTTGGGAGCAGGTGTAAATTTCTTTCGTACCAACTAACATTTTCAAAATACGAACATTTTCATGAATCCGAAAATTTACGTCACAACGACTTTCCGAATGATTTACACAAAAATTAGTTCTGCTCGTGTTTCATGAATGAGGCCCATTTTCTTTTGACTGTCAATTTATGGCTTTTCGTCTTCGAAGAGCGCACACAGACACACACACACACATAGATACCCGTGCATGAAACCACAGAAATATGTGATGGTTGTTTGTGAGGGCGGATTCGAGACATTTTTTATCTGGCCTCTTATTCCCAAAGGCATCTCCTGTCATGCTATCGCTCCTCTTTGACAAGAACAGAGCACAAATGTCTCTTTCTGCCACATCTGTGGGAATTGTCCTTTCCAGAGCAGAATGCTGTCATTATCCCTGATCTTCCCAGCGTCCGCAGGACTAGAGCCTCGGATACAGTGTGAAAAGTAAAATGTGTGTGTGAAAGAGCGCGATCAGTGCTTGAGGACGGAATGATCCATTGTGGACAGAAGCCGGTCTGTGATGGCGCAGCTCCTCTCGGCTGTGCTGGAATTCAAGTGGGAG